AAGAAAAGATAACTGAAAAAGAGACTTCACCACCAAAGGAGAGTAACGAAGAAGGTCTCAATTTCCCAACACAAGAGGGCACGAAAAAGGTAGTTCAACCATATGTTCCACCTTTACCATTTCCTTACAGAGCAAAGAAGAACACAATTGATGAGAGGAGGGATAAATTCCTTAAATGGATCGGACAGCTTAACACAACAATTCCACTTCTTGATGCTCTGAAACATATGCCTTCATATTCCAAATTTCTGAAGGAAATTCTGTCAAACAAAAAGAAGTTTGAAGAGAAAGCTACCGTAGCCATGAGCGAGGGATCTAGTGCTATTATTCAAAAGAAACTTCCAGAAAAATTGAAGGATCCAGGTAGCTTTACTATTCCATACATTATTGGAGGGTTCATGGTCAACAAAGCTTTGTGTGACCTTGGGGCTAGTGTTAGCCTTATCCCTTATTCTATGAGCAAACGACTTAGTCTTGGTATTCCCAAAGCTACTTCGATGACCATTCAGCTTGCTGACCGATCTGTTAAGCACCCTGTTGGTATTCTAGAAGACATTCCTGTACAAGTTGGGAAATATTTCATCCCTTGTGACTTTGTCGTCCTAGACATGGATGAAGATGAGCGAGTACCTGTCATATTAGGAAGGCCTTTCTTGGCCACTGCTGGTGCCATCATTGATGTTAAAAAAGGTACGTTAATAATTGAAGTGGGGGATGAAAGGGTTGAGTTCAATATTTTCCAAATGGCGAGAAATCCTTCATGTGTGGAAGATTGTTGGAGGGTTGATATAGTTGATGAATGTGTGAGAGACTTCATGGGATTCTTTCACAATGATCCTATGGAAGCTTATGCTGTGGAGGAAATTGAAAAAAATCATGAGGGAGAAGAGTTAGTTGAGCGTGTAAAAAAAAAAGAGAGTTGTGAAAAAAATCATGAGGGGGGAAAGTGGACAAACTGGAGAGAGAAGAAGTGAGGGAGACTAATAACACAAAAGAACCACCCAAAGTTGAGTTGAAGCCTTTACCATCACACCTAAGATATGCTTATCTTGGCGAAAACTCTACTTACCCAGTGATTATTAGCACTAAATTGAATGAAGAGGAAGCAGACAAGCTATTGGTCCTATTGAGAAAACACAAACAGATCATTGGATACTCCATCGATGATCTAATTGGCATCAGTGCTAACTATTGTATGCACAGAATTTATCTTGAGGAAGGATGCAAACCAGTTGTTGAACATCAAAGGAGACTTAATCCTAACATGAAGGATGTTGTGAAGAAAGAAGTTATCAAACTTCTTGATGCTGGTATCATTTACCCTATTTCGGACAGTAGATGGGTAAGTCCAATCCATGTTGTACCAAAGAAAGGAGGTTTCACAGTTGTTCCAAATGAGCATAATGAGCTCATTCCTACTCGCTTGGTCACGGGATGGAGAATGTGCATCGATTACAGGAAGCTTAACAAAGTCACAAATAAGGATCATTATCCTTTACCTTTCATTGATCAGTTACTTGAGAGGATGGCAAACCATAGCCATTATTGCTTTCTCGATGGATTCTCAGGATATTTTCAAATCATGATCCATCCAGATGATCAAGAAAAGACTACCTTCACGTGTGCTTATGGTACATTTGCTTTTCGAAGAATGTCATTTGGCTTATGTAATGCACCCGGAACTTTCCAACGGTGTATGATGGCTATATTCTCTGATCTTATTGAAGAAACCATGGAGGTATTCATGGATGATTTCTCTGTCTATGGGACCTCATTCGACTCGTGCTTGGATAATCTTGATAAAGCATTGACTCGTTGCCAAGAGGCAAATCTTGTCCTAAACTGGGAGAAGTGTCATTTCATGGTAACAGAAGGAATTGTTCTTGGGCATAAGATTTCATCCAAAGGCATTGAGGTAGATCCAGCAAAGATTGAAGTGATCGAGAAGTTACCACCGCCAACATCTGTTAAAGGCATCCGAAGCTTTTTAGGGCATGCTGGATTCTATCGACGATTCATCAAGGATTTTGCTAATATTGCAAAACCACTCACAAGACTCCTATCCAAAGAGGTTGAATTTATCTTTGATGATGCTTGTCTTAATTCTTTTTGTAAAATTAAGAAAGCATTATGTTCTGCACCTGTCATTCAACCACCAGATTGGAGCATGCCTTTCATCCTAATGTGCGATGCCAATGATTATGCTGTAGGAGCCATGATGGGACAAAAACAAGGTCGTTGCATACATGCAATTTATTATGCAAGTCATACTCTCGATGATGCTCAACAAAACTATGCCACAACAGAAAAAGAGCTACTCGCAGTTGTCTTTGCCATAGAGAAGTTCAGGTCATATCTTGTTGGAAGCAAAGTGATAGTTTACACTGATCACGCAGTTGTCTTCTTCTTCTTCTTCTTCTTCTTCTTCTTCTTCTTTCCGAATCTTTTTATTCTTCAATGAGTGCCTGCAAAAACAAACATTTCTCTCATATCTCTCATTTTGTCTAGGAGCCTTTTCAGGTTTTCATCCTAGCATCTCTTTTCTTTTTCTATTCTTTCCAACTCACTCATTTTTTTATAAGCCTTTTTGCTTAGATTGCCCATTTTGTTGGGTTTTCAACCTAACTAGCATTTATTTTCTTTTATTTATTCTCTTTTTTTTTGAATACCAATGGTAAAAGAAATTCATGCGTAGTGAAAGGGAATAAATGAAAATATATACCAAAAGAGTCTCTCCCCCACACTTAGGCCAAGCACTGTCCCTAGTGCTTGCCTTCTCCGCCGTAGTAGCTGCCTCCGAAGCCGCTCCCTTGCCCGCCATCGCCCATGTATGTGTCCCCGTCATCTCCGCCGTCGTACCCTCCACCCCCGGAGCTAGATCCTCCAAAGTTACCCCAATGAGTGGGGTCATACCACGAGGGTGGTGGAGGGGGGTTCACCATGGTCTGAAAAGATCCCTGCTGGGCCAAGTAAGAGTACATAGGTCCGTAGCACCTACATTGATCTTCTTCATACCGATGCCTGTCGGCTTCCCGGAGCTCCTCCGACCGTTGAAAACCGGCCCTTTGCTCCTCCTGTATTTGGTTGAGCCGGTCTCCCATAGCCATGTAGTTCGTGTTCATTTGATTGTACCCCGTAAGCAATTGTTGTTGACCCTCCAAAAGTTGTTGAAAGAAGTCGGGTGGTGGAGGGTTTTGAGTTTGTTCGGGGATGTCGGCGTCCATGTCATCATGGCCATGGGGTGTAGTATAATGCTCGTATTCGGGTTGGTATTGGGGAGGCTCTTGTTCCGGTTCTTGGAGATGTGGTGGAAGGGCGTGTGGGAATAGATAACGGGGTTCCTCTACCGCTTCTCTGTAGCGCAATTTGGGAAGTTCTTGGTTGGGTAGGAGGAAGTATTTGAGAGGCTTGGGGTGTATGAGCCAGTTATACATATTTTTTGGTCGTTCACCACCATAAACTGTATGGGAAAAGGCTGTACAACCCGAATGGCCTAACCAAGAAATGTTCATCAAACAATAGTCGGGTATAGGAGAGTTGTCCGTATACCCGATCTTGGTGGCTAAGTGCATAATTACCCCACCCACAACAATAGCGCCCTTGGCTGCGCTTTGCTTTTTCAGATGTGCCCACATAAGATTGCACAGATTGAAGTCCACATGAACACGGAATAGGGCTACAGACATCAGGCATACATCCCCCATCCTAGTGTGATGGTTGTTGGGACGTCCAAGCAAGCAATTGGCAAGGAATTTCAAGAATAAGCGGAGGACGGGATGTTGGACATGACTAATATACAGTTGGGAGGAGATAAATTTAGCTTCCCCGGTCATCTTTGTCCACATGGAATGGCCGAAAGCGGTATTATCGGATATGGACTTTTGGTAGGGAACCGGAATACCAAAATGTTCGGCGAACTCAAGTTTTGTTATTGAGTGGTTTTGGTTAAACAGACGAAACTTGAGTCTATCATCCCTAAAATCAGCTTCATCAGTCCCAAATTGCACCAAACTCATGAATTCATAGATTATTTTTTCATTAGAGTTGTATTGCATTTTGAATATACGATCCATGCTCAACTCATGAAAAAAATTTCCTAGTGCTCTTATACATTCCTAATTCATTGAGAGCATCAAGGCATAAAAAACGGGAAGGTTTCACTTGCCTTGCAATTGTGGTGAGGAAACGAGTTCGGTGTTCGTTGTCGGCGAAGATGATGTCCTCGTAGCCTGGAATGGGTGCCATAGCGTTAGAGCTCTGCCCTTTATCCTTCCTTGGTGTCATTTTTGGAGATTTTGAGCTTGAAATCCGAAAAATTGAAACTTGGGGTAGGGTTTTTCGGACCTTTGGAAACTGGGGGAAAGTTGGATTGGTGGGTATGGGTGTGTAGAGTAAGATGAGGGGAGTATTTTGGTGTTGGAATGGGGTGATTTGGTGAAGAAATGAAGAAGATATGGTAGAGAGAAGGTTTGAAAATGGAGGTAGGGGGAGAGGGGTTCGAAATTTGGGGTTGGGATTTGGGGAAGACGAAGTGTTTGGGGCGGTTTTGGGGTTAAAACGCCCGTATACCCGATCGAGTATGGGTTGTTACTCGGTCGAGTATGGATGGAAACCAGGATTTTTGAGTAGATTGCCTCCGGTACCCGATCGGGTATAACACAATACTCGATCGGGTATGTGTCTTTTTCCACGTTTTGAGGCCTCACTAGTACAAAAAAGGCTTTTTACATCACCTTATCCACATGTGTTATTGTATAACCCATGTGAAATATTGACATGGGGTCATTTTTATAATTTTTATAAACTTTTTCACATGTGTTGTTGTTTTATCCGATGTTAAATAGAGAAACGGGGTATATTTTAGAATTTTATTAAATATTTTACATCAGTTGTATGTGGAACCGATGTCAAAGAAAAAACGGGGTCATGTTTTTAATTAACAAAAGTTGTGTTAAACATCTTTTTAAACCCTTTTAGAAAGGGGCGAAAACAATCAGCCCTTCCAGATCTGGTATAACCGACCTGAAAAAGTTAAAGCCTTATCAAACGCGCGTCTATTTGTTTAGGAGGGTGTCAAACCTGAAAATAGTAAGCATGTCAGGGACACGGGCGGCCCAGAGGTTCTTCCCAATCGATGATTTTCATCATCGGATCGGCGATTACGTTAGGGAGAGATATCTGAGTTTCATTGAACGGCGAGGGGGAGGCGATAATCGTCCTTTATTCAGACGGCAGGGGAAGCACCCTTCTCTGCGAACATGGTTCAGATGGGAGCACGAATTTGGCAACCTGGTGCGGTGGTGTCCATCGCGCTTACGGAATGGACGGCCATTCCTCAGAGACAGGCGGAAATTTTGGGTATCTCCTAGATCGTTTGAAGCTAGTGACTAGTTTCAACGAGATTGGAGCTTGCGTGAAGAACCAAACTGGAGCCGGCGAACATTTTTCCGACCTAGGCGAACAGATTGGAGATGGCAGCGTCTTGACAGGGACTCGGCTGATTCTCAAGGCAGGAGATAAGTTCAACTCAGGCTTCCAATGGGGGAATTTGTAGGCCGGAACGACTCCCCAGATGAGTTTGATTTTTCCATTGAAAGCAAATGTTTCCTTTTTAAAATTATTGATTACAAGGTTGTTCGCATTTCTGAAACCAGGAATGGATTGTCATCTGTTATAGATCTTGATATTAATAGGGTTAATTGGTTGAAGGATTCCATACCCAAGATCGTTCGGGGTAATAAATTTAATGCTAGGATGGAGCAAAATAAATCTTTTACTATTTTGTATGACGCTAATTTCTTTGGATGATTTATTGTGAGTGTCTCTCTCTGTCTTCCATCTCATACATTCTGTTTTACTTGCGTAGGTCTCAATAGTTCTTCTTGAATTTCACTTAGATGAACTGGTTAGTCCCACAATTACCATTCTGCCCAAAAAAATATTTATGCCTAATAGATGATATTTCAAGATTATCCTAAAAATTTAAGGGTTATTGTAGTTGTCCTGAACCTTTCAACTTTCATGTCATATAAGTTATTCTCAAGGTCGTAGTTGCTAGAAAGTATCTTGCATGACTTGGTTTGATTGTATATTTACCATTCAGCTTAAAGAAAATCTGTATGCTTGCGTGATGATTATTAACAACCATGTTTTTTAATTTCGCCCGCCAAATTGTGTTATGAACAAAATAAGTAAGGATGGAGTTGCATTTCTGGCTGAGTTTGTTGAGGATGATACTGTTAACCTTTTTCATTTTTTTGATTTATTAATATAAAATATTTCAAAGACACTTTTCATATTTTAGCAAATCCATCCAATTGAGCTGTTTTAGACGTAATTGTAAGGAGATCGAGCCAATTTCAGCATTAACAAATGTGCTCATAATGTATTTATGAGTTCACTCAAGTGTCAGACATATTTCATGTATATCAATGATGTTTTTCATATTATACATGTAGATTGGTTATAATAAAACATTAGTGGTCATAGTCTATCTTCGATGCTGCTAGAGTGCACCATAGCAATGCATTTTTTAATTACACAAAAATATTTTAGCAACCCAATATTAGATTATAAGAACTTTTTTTGTTTGAAATTTTATGTCTTCCACTTTTTGCTTGCCTCTTGCTGACAATAAAACATTCAGAAACTAGATGTCATATTCTAAATACTGCCTTTCTTTGAAGTTTTGTTTCTCGCACTTCACAATATTCATTGATTTCCCTTTATGATAGTAAAACCCTGAGGAGGAACTTTGTGGTTATACTAGTTATTTTGATCTTGCTACCTGCCAATGAAGGGGTACTGTAAAAGACGTAAAGTAGTTTTTTATTTGTGTGATATTTAATTGCGGAAGTGTTGGAGTAAAGTCACACTGATTTTTTATTTGGTTGCCCTAGGTTTCATATTTTAATTGTGAGATTTACAAGTTATAGATACTATTTGTAATCCATCTTAGAAAATTCTTCATTAATATTTGTAGGTCGCAAAGCTGGATTTTGTGCTTTATGTTCCATCCAGAGGCATGTGACTCATGCTCTTAAAGCAACAGGGAGAATTCTTGGGCCAAAAGATCTTGTGTCCAACTTGTGGTGTATCCTCTTAATAGTTTAGAATCCACAAGTTTATTGATTTGCCACTTCTATGTTTGGGAAATTTGGTATTTTCACCCCTTGTTCACGTCAACATTTGATTTTGTATCCCATGTTTCTATGTTCTTTTAATTTTGCACCCAGAGCAGGGTCAAAATCAAATACTGGAGCTAAATATTGAGTGCAATGTCAATTTATTGTTAGGCTTTGTATCACACGTTTACACCCACTATTCAACTTTGTACACACTTGTGGTGCAGTAGTGCACAGTCCAAGAAACTAGGCTCTATTATTGGAAGATTGCAATTAAATTTTGTGGTTCATTGTTTTATTTTCAATTTTTTGTTCCAAGGATGCCGACCATGAATTTCCTTAGTGATCTATTATTGAGCTATGTATTTTAGTACACAATAATCTAAAATCTTCTTATGCTAAACATTGCAGGCCACGAATGTCGTTGTTGATCTCTTATTGCTCTTTAAGTCGGAGCAAAACACATTAATGTGAGTAGCAAGTCTGTTTAGCATCTATCTTCTAAATAGACATCTTAGACATCTTCCGTTTCTATTAGTTGTATATAGTCGGTATGATACCCTTCTCAACTCAAGAAAGGGAAGAGTGAAATGGATTATTCCTATGGTAAGTAGTTATTACTTTATTTTGCGTATTATTTTTACTTTTATTTGTGTAGCACCAAGTCAAATACCGTAGTTCCTGATGAGTAATTATGTTGTTCTAACTTGTAGACTCGAATGCAAGTTGGTAGTTATGAATGTTGTTACTATGTGATGTTGCATATGTTGAATATTGTTCGGCGGTAATTCTTGAAATGTGGGATGATGTACATTATTATTGTTATGAATTATTTATTTGTTCCATGTAATATTTTTTAATAACCTTTTTATTTAATTTTTAGCGATTCGTCAATCCGGAACCATTCTCGTCAGAAGAGATTGATGAAGTGCAAACTCGTTGAGCATCATATTTCTTAGAAATGGCGCATTCCATCAGAGACTTGTAACTTTACAGTTTAGACCATGTGTTATTACTCTAGACTTGTGCAATGATTGTTTTATTTTAGCTTATTATTGTGTACCAAATTGTTACTTAAACTTGTTTAACATTTGTGGAAGAATTGAAAAATAGTTTGTCTTGTTGTTCTTGATTATCAAGTGAACAGGTGCAAAATTATGCTATAGTAGTTGATGATACTGTTAATGATGTGATTATAGTATAAATGGGGTCATATTGCAAATTTGCAATTTTTTCCAGAAATTTCTACATCGCTTGATAGAATAACCGATGTGAAAGCTTTTCTACATGGGTTAAAACCGATGTGAAAGCTTTTCTACATGAGTTAAAACCGATATGAAAAACCCTATGTTCCGAAAAATCAAAACTTTTCTACATGGGTTATTTTAGACCCAATGTAAATTCTTCCTCATCGGTTATAACCGATGTGGAATACCATTTAAAACGCCATTTTTGGCAATCTTCTAGATCGGCTACTACATGACCGATGTAGAAAGACTTTTCACATCGGTTTCATAACCGATGTGAAAAGTCTCTACTTTTCACATGGGCTGGAACCACATCGGTTGTTTGACCGATGTGAAAAGTCTTTTTTGACCGATGTAAAAAGCCTTTTTTTGTACTAGTGCATGTACTCGATCGAGTGCGGGAGTCAGCTTTCTTTGAATTTAACCTTTCTGTACATACTCGACCGGGTATGTAGTGATATCCGATCGAGTATGCATGCTTTCTTTCAAAAATCAATACTCCTCGATCGAGTAATGCCCGGTTCCCCTTCTTTTGACCATACCCGACCGAGTATAAGGTGGTACTCGATCGGGTATGTCCCCAGATGCTTCAAAACCTGCATTTTTTTCTTCTTTTTCTCCAAAAACCCGCGATTAGTTCCCTCTCTCACTGATCTCTCAAATAATTAAACAAAAAATGAACTTTAAACACTCGGATTAACGAAAAATAAAAATAAAACTTGGGTTGCCTCCCAAGAAGCGCTTGATTTTATGTCGCGGCACGACATTATTTTTATTTTATTTTCTTTTATGTGGGGTCGTGAACATCCCTTGTTTCATTTTTCTTTTTCGGCCTTCTCCAGTAAGGCCGGGATTTCTTCCCTGTTATCACTTCAACCCCAGGTGGGATCCATTCTCTTTTTGAAAATTTGAACAATTCTTCTTTTTCAAAAAGTGTGATTTTCTCAGCTTTTTTCCCAACAAAAATATTCGTGGTTTGTGGTTCAAAAACATTTAGAGAACAAAGAGATTGGTCTTTAATTTGTTTTTTCATAGAATCAAGAATGTTGAATTCTACCTTTTGATCATCAAACTCTAAAGTTAACGAACCATTAGATACATCTATTTTTGTTTTTGCGGTTTTCCTGAAGGGTCTACCAAAAAGGATGGGTGTTGTTTGATCATGAGTTCCCATTTCAAGGACATAGAAGTCAACAGGAAAAACCAAATTTTCTACTTCCACTAGCACATCTTCTACTACACCCTTCGGGTAAGTATTAGACCGATCTGCTAGTTGAATCACTACACCAGTTTGATGTAGTGGGCCGAGTTGTAAGGATTTATATAAGGAATAAGGAATGACATTTATTGATGCTCCTAAATCCAACAAGGCCTTAGAAAATAAGGTATCCCCTATTTTGCAAGGAATAGTGAACATGCCTGGGTCGCTACATTTCTTAGGGAGTTTCTTTTGAAAATGGCCGAGACATGTTTACTAACTTCAACCTTTTGTTTCCCTTCCAGTTTATTTTTATTTTTCATTGTGCATAGTTCCTTTAAGAACTTTGCATAACGGGGAACACTTTTGATTAGTTTGAAGAGTGGGATGTTTACCTCAGAATCGGCGAAGGTCTCGTAGATGTCCCGATCATTCTTCAGCTCCCTCGTGTCTTTCAATGCTTCTGGGAATGGAGGGAGTGGTTCATATGATGAAAGTGGAGGGAATTTAGTTTTCGTTGGTTTCTCCTCTTCCGGTTGAAAGCCTTCTTCAAGATCAACCTCTTTCTTTTCCTCCTCAACTTCCCGTGTTTGCAATTCTTTACCGCTCCTCAACATGATTGCATTGACATGTTGTCTTGGGTTTTGCTCAGTTTGGGAAGGGAGCCTACCCGAATCTTTTGCTTCAAGTTGACTTACGGCACTTGAAATTTGGCTAACTTGAGTTTCCAAAATTTGAATGCTCGACTTGGTTTCATGTTGGAATTGCATCATGGTTTGTTGGAATTGCCCCATGCTTTGCTGCATTGTTCCCATATTAATGGCCAGTGCTCGAATCATGTCTTCGGTGGACATACTCGAGTTTGATGTTTGGCCTTGTTGTTTATATTGTTGAGGAGGTGGGTTCGTTTGTTTTTGAGAATTTCCGTACCTTAAATTCGGATGATCTCTCCATCTCGGATTGTAAGTATTGCCTTGAGGATCGTACCTCCTTTGACCTTGGAACCCCAAAGCATTGACTTGCTCGGAGTTCTCTTCTTGTAGTATTGGGCATGAATCAGTGGGATGCCCCTGTGTTGAACATATGCCGCAAACCTTGGCTTCTTGGGTTTTCGGATTTAAGAGAAAATCTTTTACCAAAGAAGTCAATCCGGACACTTGACTTTCTAACGAATTGTTGGATTCCGCTGCCATGACTCGTCTTGATGATGACCTCCCGTTGTAATGTCTCGAGTTTTCGGCCAACTCCGAAATGAGGTCTCTTGTTTGAGAAGGGGTTTTGTTAATAATACCCCCTCCACATGCCGCATTTACCATGCGTCTATCTTGATCAACAAGACCATCATAGAAGTAGAGGATGAGATCTTGCTCCGAATACCCATGATATGGGCAACTATCACATAATTTTTTAAAGCGTTCCCAATATTCGTACAAGGTCTCATTATCTGATTGCTCAATGTTGCTAATTTTCTTCTTGAGACTTGAAGAGATAGATGCGGGATAGTACCTGTCAAGGAAACTCTTTTTCATTTGAGCCCATGTATTGATGCTCCCCGAGGGAAGATAGAATAGCCAATCTTTGGCGGTATCTTTGAGGGAGAATGGGAAGGCTCTCAGCTTGATTTTCTCCTCGGACATGCCATTGGGGCACATGCTTGTGCACACAATATGGAACTTTGACAAGTGTTTGTTCGGATCTTCCCCTCGTAGACCATGGAAAGAGGGAAGTAGATGAATGAGTCCAGATTTTAGCTCGAATGCGACCCCCGTATCAAGAGTTGGAAAAGTGATACATAAGGGTTGTTGATTTAGATTCGGAGCCGTGAGCTCCCTCAACGTTCTTGTTTCAAGAGCCATAGTGATTGGCTCTTCGGTGTCGCTAGAATGAGAACTAGCACTTGATGATTCCTCCGAAGAAGTATTCGGAAATAAATTCCTAAACCTCTCGAAGGCTTGTTCTGTTTCGGGCTTTGTTTGGTAGGTGATTTGGTTTATAGATCGGTGTTTAACCATATACTCAAAGCTCAGAAAAAAAATAAGAACTCTTTATATTTTTATTTAATTTTTTTTATTTTCTTGAAATAAAAGAAAAATAATTGCCTTTCCCCGGCAACGGCGCCAAATTTAAGGTGCACTTGTCGTGAGGTGCACTCAAAATAATTACAATACAACGATTATACGTAGTATAACGAAGTAAGGTTCGTATCCACAGGTAAAGGAATACTTTTCTTTTATATAAGTAGTAACAGGGGGGGTGATTTAATTTAATTTAATTAACACTAAGATGAACGACTTATGTGGTTTAAAATTAATAGAGAAGAGGACTTGGTTTTGCTTTTATCCACTTAATGAAATGTTTGTCGATCTCGGTTATATCTTTAACTATCTTCCTCTCGAATACTCAATCGAGGAGTATATCCAGTTCATCGAGGGTAGTTATTAATAACGAGATGCGTTCATTAATAAAACTTACTATCGCGTCAATATAGAACAAGCGCCATATATTAACTTGATAGTAGCAATAAACTTAAGATGAAAACGATTGAGATTGATAACCTCAAAACAAGCGGTTTATTGGTTTAATCAATAAAATTAATTCCCCTTGGCATATTAACCATGAGATGCATCCATTAATAATCCAAGTTTACTACCGTTGAAAGAACCAGATTAATAACAAGTGTATTAACCGATTGATTCTAGTAATAATTAATATGAGAAACAAAAATAGTTGATACTTTAAGTAATGTTTAAAATATTAACATGAAATATGAATAGTAATTAATTAATATTCAAGGAAGAATATTAAAGATTATGAATCCTACTGTGATTAATATCAAGATGTTAACTAATTGTCATCTTAGTAATACTCCCCAATATTAACATAGATGAAGAAATAACTATTACTATAACCAATGTCAAGATGTTAACTAATTGTCATCTTAGTAACACTCCCCAACTTTGATATAGAAATAGTATTTTAAAGGAAGAATTAATATTCAAGGAAGAAGATTAAAGAAAATAACTCACAACTTACAAATTCATTAAGCTTCAAAGTAGCAAAACCAAGATGGAAGAGTTCAGCTCCTCATTTGGAGACTAAACATGATGAAAAATATAAAGAAAGAACTATTCTATACTGAGCTTAGATGTATATAGGAATTGGTTGCTCAATTGTGAAGGAAAGGGGGGTGTATTTATAGGCTTTTGGGATGCGATTCGGGTACTCGATCGGATATATACATGGTACCCGATCGAGTATGTGTGTAATACCAGATTCGAGGTATACTCGATCGATTTTAGGCTATGTTCCAAAGGTATACCCGATCGAGTATATGTGTAGAAAGTGATATTCGAGCCATACTCGACCGATTTTGCGTTTAAACTCAAAGGCATACTCGATCGGGTATGTCGGTATACCCGATCGGGTATAGACACTCAATCGTGGCCGAAATCTTCCCGGCATGTTCCCTTGCCTTCGGATCTGATCTGATTTGAAGTTTCAACCTAATACCTGATCGAGTATAGGTAATACTCGACCGAGTATAGACCAAAATTTCAGGATCCTTCTTTTGTCTTCAAATTATGCACCTTCCATCCACTTTTTGGGGTTCACCAACTGTCCTTTGAGTGATCAAGACCTGTTTGAGCTCAGAATATACCTAATCTAAACTATTTACAAGAATTTAACAAACTAAATTATTACACCAAAAGTG